CACACACCACCCAGTGCCAATGAAAGATTCATGGAGCAGTGATGATGAAGGCATCTCCCCTTCTGCTCCACTTACTGCAGTGGACACACACACACACACACACACACACACACACACACACACACACACACACACACCCATATATATATATATATATACACATTTTTTTCCTGTCCTGATAAGCCTCTTTCAAGATGAGGGGTGACTCAGCCCAGCTGAACACTGATGGGCGATTATAGACTGACAGTGCAGTGCTCTCCATCGCCATCATCAAAATACTAAACGAGGGACTATTTAATTGGAAAATTGGGTTTGAACCCTCCTGGGGGAAGTGCTAAGGCACTTCCTTTAATTTGTCACCAGCCTGTATATTACCTTATATCATGTTTGAGTAGATACTGTGCATGCGTGCCCATAAATGTAAACTTGCAGACGACAGGGTACACTGGGTATTGTATCATCTGCGTATGTGCACGTGTGTTTGTGTGAACGTGCTGTGACTGGAAAGTGTACGTGTGTTCCACAGACTAAGCAACGTTAATCAGAGCAGTAACAGCAGCTGTAGAGAGGAGGCAGGTAGGGAGCAGAGCAGACCTCATCAGTGACCCGCTCAAGGTCACTCTACCTCCTCCGTACACTACCAATCAATGAAGTTCTGCCTAGTCCCTCATAAAGAGATGAGGAGGGAGGAGAGGAGGTGGGGCAGGCAGAGGAGAATAGGGGAAAGATAAGAGAGGGATCATGTGAGACAAAAAAGATGAGAAATAGACAGAAACAGGAAAGTGAAAAAGGAGACAAAAAGATGAAGACACCGATGGAGACTGAGGCAAAATGGGGGGTGGGGGGTGGAGGAAAAAGGGAGGAAGGGAAGGAAACAAAGGAGGAGAGGAGATGGAGGTGGTTAGTACAACAGATAAAAAAAACCTTAGATACGACAGTGGCATAGAAAATGCACGGATACATACTACAGAGAAATGGACACACATGTGAGCACAAGAAACACACACACACACACATGTACAGTACCTCAGTGGCGATACTCTGGCTGGCGCTGTTCTCCAGAAGGAACCGCACCACCTCCAGGTGATTCTCCTGGGCTGCCATGTACAGAGGAGTGAAGCCATTCTGCACACAACATGAACCAAAAGACACACAATCTTTTTCAAACATTACACAACAACAAATACATCAACCTTTACTGATGCTTACATAAGAAATGATTCCACGTTTCCTTGTATTTAGCCGTTTTAAACTTGGTTTAAATATAAAGTTTCATGTGACATCTCCTAACATGTCATAAATGATGACTATTATAGCAACTGATCACCTTTAAAGTGACATATACACACTGAGTATATCTTAACAAAACATGTTCCAGTGGTCTGAAGGTAAAGAGTTTTTCCTCTGCTTGCTTTTTTATTTTGGACATTATCAGAGAGAAAGAAGCTGGCTGAATATTTTCTCTCGCTTCGATCTAATAGAGTTAAATGTGAAATGCAAGGACAAGCAGTTTCCTGAAGAGGCAGAGGCCTAGTTGGCATTATGCCAGTTTCTGTCAGTGAGGATTTCTCCCTGTATGTCAGCGACTATCTGATATAGATCATCTCAACAGCAGTGTAATTATACCTACCCTAAAGCCAGACCACCAAGACCTTGCTGTCATTTTGACATTGACTTGCAGGCATTTCGAGTATATCCCACCTGAGATTGTGCGTTGACATTGGCTCCATTAGTGACCAGCTCTTTGACGACTTCCGTTTGGCCAGCCAGCGACGCTATGTGCAGAGCAGTGTTTCCTTTCTGGATTACACGGAACAACCAAAGGAATGCGTGTTAAGCTCTGGCCCACCTGTCCCACTGTTTTGCTTGTGTGTATGTGTGCGTGTGTGAATGTGACTGATTGCCACTATGCTCTTCATATATCCACGTCAGTATCTATGTGCACCCGTGAATCCCCTTACACAGATCACATGCTTGTACTGCTGGCATTCCAGCTCTGGCATCCCCCTGCATGCAGTGCCAACAATGTGTCACTTCCTATCCCGCCGGTAAATAAAACTAGTGGAGACTTTTTAAGAACCTGTGCAGTTCCTTGTGAGGGCAGAGTCGACCCTCAGCCTGATTCATGGCCACATGATCCTGATGCTAGTTGATCACAAGGTTCTTTTGCACAATAGCGATCAGTCACGTATAGCGCATACAGGAGCAGGGAAATCTGATAGCCATGGCTCCTAACAAACAGACAAGTTTCTTTTTGTTTATTACACCACCACTCAAAGCTGCCAAAGATGCCAAATTACAGTTATTTTTCAAGCACTGCTGAATATAAATATTAGTTTAATGGTTGAAACTCTGATTTCTTCTATTTCACTATGATTTTTTTTTGACAGATTTATAAAATATCTGTGTTTTGATACGCTGTCACTTTATTTTAATATTCATTTAGTCACCTTATTATTGTTGACAGGCTAATTGTACTTATGTTTATACCTTTATTACCTTTTTTTACATGCTGTAATGGCCTTTTTTTGGAGCATTTCAACTTGCTATACATCAAAATATAAGTAATTAGGCCATAGTAACAAAATAAATCACAAGAAATGCAGTAAAAGAAATTGAAAAGCTTCTTTCTACGCACTAGATATAGAAATGTCATAGCTATATCCATCAAAATTGTAAATGAAAAAAAAGTTGCACAAATATATAGAGATATATTTATATATAGGGAGAAGAGATATTTATATATTCATATGTGTCTACCGAGACACAACATTAGTACAATACTACATGTTTGAGGCCAAACGTTTCAGCTTTTGTTTGGAATCGTGTTCATTCAGATCTATCGTAGCCTTTATGAGTTATAACACTTAAACAGCAGTGTTAAAGAAGTGCTGGCTGCATTATTTGCAGCTAACTGACAAGTTACATTATTTAGCTTTGCAAAAATACCCACTCCTGTGCTTGAAAAAATGTGCCAATGTTTTCACAGTGTACATTTGAGCACTGAAAACACACAGATAAAGGCAGGTGAAGATCTTGGCCTTATTTAAAAAAAATGATTAGAAAAATACTCCTTAAATTCCTTCATGCTGAGAACCCTCAAATATTTTTGGCTAAACAAACACTATGAATACCATTTTAAAGACACGTATTTAAGTTCATGTAATCCAGTGCAGCGATGCCACTACAGCTCAAAAGATCAGTTATTGTATCACTGACTATTAGTGAACACAGGACTTCTTGTTTAACTCTCCCACAGTGAGAGCAGCACTGTTGGAGGGGCTAATGAACAATAACTAGAATCAAACAGAGACGCTGTTGCTAAACAAGAATCCTCGATAGCGTTGCCTCCTCTGGCTGCTTAAAGAGGAAACTGATCGGCATTAGGATGCAAGCAGACACAGGCATATCAAACTAATCCTCGAGCATCCTCCAGGTCACAATACAGAAATATTTTAATTGGGAAGATTTTTTCCTTGATCTTGAATATTTTATTGTGTCTTATGTTTATGTCAGCACTAGGCATGTGGCCTGGGGCCCAGAGGCTGAGCCAGACCACTAAATGGCAGTAAAAGGCTTCAGGGGAGAAATATGGAAAACATTTTCAGTGGCTCTTCCTCTGAACTCCTTTTAGATCAGAATTGAGATGCGTCCATAGCAAAAACCTGTCTTATTAAAATATATGCATGTTTTTACAATACATAAAATAACACTACAACTGGTTTTACTTATCTAGATGTTTAATACATACAATTCTTGCAACACACTCTTTTGCTTCATTCTAGCACACATTCTATTATTTTCGTATGGCTAATTACCTTGTCTGCTTCCAGCAGTAGTCCCCATAGACGTCATTAAATATTGATCCAGTATCAAACACTAACAAAGGCTGCACACTTCGTCGTACTGATTCTGCATACTGTTTAATCCTACAGAGATGCCATGATCCGCGCTCGGTCCAAATATAGTCTTCCATTATACCTGATGGAGTTGGTCTTACCTTTGTGGCTGCGTCCACAGTGGCTCCGAGCTTCAGCAGCTCAGCAACAACCTCTACATGTCCCTCCTTGGAGGCCAGATGAAGAGCATTTAGACCATTCTAGGAAGGAAACGTTTATAGGAGTTAGGGGTCTTATGCATGATGAGATAATATGAGATTACGTTTGATTGTCAATGATACGTTGGCTAAAATCATCTATGTTTTATTTATGGTAAGATAGTGTTTATTAAGTTATACATGAATCTTGTAGTCCTCTTAAATGTAGCTTGGGAAGCATTGCAGTTTAATGCGTACCCTAACATGCTTCTTTAATTCTAAAATCAATGAGCACGCATAAGGACATGACAGTTTAAATGGTAAAAACTTACTTGATTGCAAATGTTAATCTCAACCCCAGACTTGAGGTAGTCAAGGACTTTTTCGAGGTTCCCTGCCCGGGCAGCTCGTAGGTAACTGGCATTGCTATCAGACTTAAGAGGAGGAGGAAACAAAGAGAGCGAAAGAGGGCACGAGAGGCAGATGAGAGAGAGAGCAAGAACAAAGAGAGACGAATTAAGCACTGTCTTGATTTAAACATAACACATCTTTAAGCCCACAGTAGAACAAAGCATGTGCATTACTGTACCAGGTAGAACTCTGTCATAATTTCTCAGACATCCAAAAACATCTTATCTTGGCAAAAAAACAAAGCTAATATCCACAGATGCAATGTGTTCATTTTTACACCGCGAACAAAAAAAAGTCTACTTGTGCTTCAAAGCGAGAAAACACAAACATTTCAAGAAGTAAATCCATGAGAAAGCCAACAGAGCCCAAGCATATCTTCCCGACAATTCACATCATCCTTCATCATCCATCAGATCCCACCGGAATGTTATTGCAGCTTTGTTAAATCCAAATGTCCATGATTCCCCAGTGAAAGAAGTTCAGTGACCGGGTGGTCGTTACAGCTGCCACAGAGACCTCCTCTTTTCCTCTGAGATGTTTTCTGTCCACCAGCAAAGCAGTTATGACTCTACGTTGCCGTGCTATGAGAAGCAGAGCATCCGCTGTTCTGCTCAGCTGTCCTTTATTTCACTACAGAAATAGGGCTTTGCACACCAAAATATAATGATGAGGCAAGCATTTTTTTTTTTTTGCCCCATAACAAATGTGGTGAGCATGTGCGTGTAGAGAAGAAAAGAAAGGGAGGGAGCGAGATGGAAAGGAGGAAGAGAGAAGAAAGAAAAAGAGAAGGAGAAGGAGAAAGCTAAAAAAAAAAGAGAATAGAAGAGACGAAGGTAGTTTCTTTTCTGTGTTCATGTTACCTCAGAGGACATTAGGTCTGACATAAAATGACACACAGCAAACTCTGCACATTTTGTCTCCCTTCTTCGCAGCAGCCTTGCAAAGAGCATTTTGTAAAACTCAGCACTGGTGCTGCTGAGAGCAGGAGGGAGAGATGCTGTGATATGCTGCTTCATAACAGGGGCACAAAACCAAATTCCCCTGATTTATCAAAAGCCCAGACTTGCTAAATTTAGCTTGCATCCAGAGACATGTAGGATAAACGCAGCAGGGCAATGGTACAAGTGGTTATCCAATGTTGTATTCTCTGCCTCCCCCTCCACTGTGCTTGTCCAGAAATAACTCTGACGAGCATAGAGGGATCTGACCCTTTGCCAAAATGTGAGGGAACAAGACACCAGTATTAGATTGTTCCACTAGTCTGTATAAAAGTTTGAGAGGAAAATATTTCTGTTTGTGCTCTTGCACACATGTGTGGACAAACAAATGAAATACAAATGAGGCAGTGTTAACTGGAACCCGAGTCATTTCCTGATTACAAGATTACAAGAAACCATTAAGCTAAAACTTATATATCTGCAGCCACATCTAGAGATTTCTCCTTCCTTTTTCCATAGCCCCAACCCTCTGAGGAATGTGTGATAGCACTGAATCACTAATGATATTTCTGCTCTTGTGGCCTTGAGAAAAAGTCATGCGTGGTACCGAACCAGCATGATAAGTAAACAGCAAAAATGAGCCATGCACCGAGAACAATTAAAGAAAAATTCAGCTCTTAACTTTATCAAATGCATGTGCAGAGGTAATATTATAAATGTCTCAAAGGTCTAAAGAGGCATAATAAAAGCTTGAGATTCTTTCTTAAGATTGATGCTCTATCAGTGTGTGTGGCTGTGATTATCTTAGCATTACTTAGCATTAGCACTGCTGAATTGTACCGGGAAATAGGGCTGTGATACTGAAAGCCTTTAAACATCCAGTGCTATGCTCTGGATCTTCTTCAGAGAAATACCTCCAAATAGCTTTATAAACAACGTGATGCAATGTAAACAATCTCCACAGCAATTAACTTAAAATTAAGCATAACCTTTACTTAAAATTCAGCATAATACAGTGAGTAGGTCTTTTATGATAACCTGTGGCCCAGCCACAGTCAGCAGCCACCCTCTTTCTTGTCATCATTTTTATTTTCTGTCTACGTTTCATTTGTTTTCAACCTTCTTTACAGTGAGAAGTGCTGGCTATGCAGGAATGGTGAGAAAATATTGATATTAAATATTGAAGGGGGGCTGTAAAAATAAAAAAAGCAACACCATGATGTCATTTCCCCTCCAAAAAACTTCATACACATTTTTCCGCCGCAGAATTAAACACAGCATAAATTCAGGCAGGCCTTGAAGTCGAGCACATTCCACAATCCTGTAGATCATCTGACTTCAGTTCCAGATTACATCAACTTGCTCATCAGACACTCTTTTATGCATCCTATGGGCAGTTCTCATAGAGTTCATACTATTTAAGATGCTTTAAAGCTGCTCTTTGCAACTCACTTCCAACCCAACTCGTCCTTTCATGCTGTTTCTGTCTTAATCAGCGTCATGTCTGTTATCACTATACTCTTAAAGGGTGGCATGTCACATCACAAAGTGGAAATTACTGCATATGGAAATAATCTAATTTTAACTACAGTGGTTCTGAACAATATCGAAGATGGGAAGGAAACATATAAAATGTTTCTTTGCCAAAACTTAAATGGGTATTGCTTTTTTATTGACTTACTGAAGTCTCTCCACATACTATAATATCTGTGCAGCATATGTTTGTGTTTCCCACCAACTAAGATGTTTCCTACTAACTGCCATGTGTCCTCACTGTGAAGCATGCTCTGCAATGTCTGACCCATGTATGAGCTCTTGAGTGCAACCAAATGCGTGACCGCTCTGAAACCCCCTGACATGGAAATGCAAAGGTCACACTGCTGTGGAAAGACAGCATGCACCAATACTGCTGCTTGATTTACACCATCAAATATTACCTAGGTCGAACATGATATCTAATGCTGCCTTTAATCGTTTAATACAGATATTAAATGAGGGATGACTGGTTGGCAGCAGATGAGACAGAAAAAATATATAAACTTCATTACAGAAAAGTTACTTTATTAAGAGCTTTTACGTGTTTCTATGACAACTTGCATAGTCTTTTAAATATCACATGGTGCTCTTTGCTTCTCGCAACAGATTAAGTAGTCCACATCCATATCTACATTATTACTGATTTCAGTTTATCCCTTAATACAGTGACCAAAACGTCCAGCCCCACAGCCATCCCCATCTATGTCTAACATGAGGGATCTTGGAGTCTTTGTGAATGAAGTATTACACACGACTGGGTATGAGATTAGTAAGAGAAATATTATTAAGCCTCCACAGATCAGAGGTTCAAAGAAAATGGGGCCATTAAAGACTAGGTTAAGCCTGAAGGAAAGCATTAATCTCATGTTAGATAGAAAGTAGAGGACGAGAGCGAAATCTGGCACACAAGTGCTAACGAAAAAAGCCTGAAATTATGCCATCACTCCAAATTAACATCTGAAAGAGTCAAAAATTGAGCTAACTTTCAGGTAAGATGCTATAAAAATGAGAATTAACCATATGGGTTAAAAATTAATAGAGCCCTGTCGCCACTGCCTGCAGATGCAAATGTGAATAAAAAGCAGCTAGGCCTTTGTGCTGGCATTTGATGAACCAAAATGCATGTGTTTGATAACACTACAGCACCTGTTTCATAGAGTGCATACGCTCTTTGAAGAAGAACAAACCCTTAAAGGTTCAATCTGCCTCTTCAAAAAAGGGAAGCATGGGAACAAAGCACAATCCTTACTGAAATTTTGATAGTACAGATTTCAAACATCTAGTAAACATTCCCTGTTTTTGCTCACATGATATATACTGTAAGCTGGTAACAATGCATGTGTGGTGTCAACAAATGCTACTCTCCCACAATAAACTTGGAAAATGAGAATCTACTCACAGCAACATTTTTGGATAAAGAAAATAGATCTGTTTTCTTTTTTTGTTGTTCTTGGAGTTTTCTTTCCTTCCAAAGGCAAATCTGATATCCAGCTATTAGAATAAAATTAACATTACAGTATGACACAAAAGGATGAAATTAAGTTCAATTCAATTCAATTCAATTTTATTTATATAGCGCCAAATCACAACAAAAGTCGCCTCAAGACGCTAGTAAAGGCATAATGGTCAGATTTTGGGTGGGTCACATCATTCACTTCTTGAATTTGAACTTCACGACCCGTTGCTGCTGCTGTTTGTTTTCATTTTTGCTGAATCTGTAATTGGCACCTTTTTGCTTCATGACATCAACGCAGTGATAGTCTATCTGGATAGAAGGTACTTAGTATAAAGAACTGATATCCTGTCTTTCCAGACTACAATGATGTCAGCTTGGCACTATATACCAAGCTCACAACAAAGCAGAAGCTCGCACACTGAGTGGAACAGCATTTATATAGCACTTTTCTAATCTTACTGACCATCCAAAGCACTTTAGACTACAAGCCGCATTTAACCACGCATTCATATAGCGCTTTATTATATACACTTTAAATACCAGTCATCCGAAGTCAATTTAGAATCACTAATGAGCCTAACATGCATGTTTTTGGACTGTGGAGTCTAAAAACACGCATGTACCTGAAACAAACCCAAGTGGGCATGTGCAAATTCCACAAAGCAGGACCCCAGTTGTGCTTCAAATCAGGACCTTTCATAGCATGAGGGGACAGAACTAACCGCTGCACCACAGATAAAAACAATGTAGACACACACGCGTTGATGTCATCACTGTAGGCGCTGTGTGAACTGAGGGAGCTTAGAAGAGGAGAGCCAGACCAGCAGCAGCTGTATTGTTTGATTTTATCCCCTGCTCTCCTGACAACACAAAACTCACAGAGCTCTACAAGCACAGAGTCAGGGGCATTGAGTAACAGGCCACATCTTCTATGAGTGCCAAAGAACCTCATCTCAGCAACCACAACATCCATTCCTCTCAGCTCTAAATAGCCAAACTTCCCAAATCCCCAGCCTTGCTTATTTCCCCATGGAAACTTGACTTCTTTCTTTTTCTCCATGCAAAATACAGAAAAGCTGCTGCTGATTAATCC